CCCCGGGCGCCGGGTGCTGGGGCCCGGAGCCGCAGGGGTTTCTTCCGCCGCCGCCTGTCGTGGAGCCGGCAGCATCCTCGGGATCCAGCCAGACGAGCGTTCACGTGCCGGCCTTCTTCCCTCGACAGCGCGTCCGGCTTTTATTGGACCGACGGCGTAGTTGGAGGAAAATCCCCCTCGCTTGGCCCTCAAAAGCTCGTCTGGCTTGATCCCAGTGACAGTGCTGTGCGTTACCGTGGGATCGGGCCTCGTTGCTGGGTCCCGGCAGCATGGTTAGCCCAATACAAAATGACTGATAATGTTGTTAGGGTCAAGTGAGGCGAGCCGTCAAATCCTCGGGTTCATAGTTTCATAGATGTCCGGGTCGGAAGGGTAGGTCATCGAGTCCGACCCCCTGCCCTGGGCAGGAAAGAGCGCTGACCCCAGCCAGGCGCTTGTCCAGTCTCCTCTTGAAGACCCCCAGGGTAGGGGAGAGCCCCGCGCCCTTGGAGCCCGTTCCAGATCCTGGCCCCTGTCACTGTGAAGAAGTTCTTCCTAATGTCCAGTCTAAATCTGCTCTCCGTCAATTTGTGACCATTGTTCCTAGCTAAACAGGGGTTCAATTGTTTTTTTGCCATCGCAAGCTGGTCTCGCTCAATCCCAGCGACAGAGTTATCTTGTATTGGACTAACAAAGTTGTTAGCATCGAGCGAGACAAGCTTTCGAATGCAAGACCTGGGGAAGAACGCCTTGCTGTCGCGAGCTTTTCTCTGTCCCAGTGACAGTCTCATAAAAGATATTTTTCTCGGGTCTTGCATTCGGAAGCCTGTCTGACTTCATCCCAGCAACTCAGCTTTCATCGCGCCAGCAATCACGCCAAGAAATCCTTGCCTCTTGCATCATTTCTGGACCATCGCGGCTGCAGCATCGCTGATACGCTATCGTTTTATCTTGTGCCCTTTTCGTTCTGGTCAAGATGCTTCCTAGTAGTGGTCGTGGACCGTGGAGCCTGCTTTTAAACTCCTGGCAACTCACTGCTGAAGATCAGTTTCATAGTCGTTAGGGGCTGGAAGGGACCGGACGGATCATCAGATCTGTCAGAGACGTAGAGCTCCCCATCTTGCTAAGCATGAGACCCCAAAAGAAGTATAATACAGTGGTGTGATGCTGCTAGGGCTTTGAGGTCCTGCTCTTCCTTGGACCATGTCTTGGTTAATTTCAGTAATGATCTCTGTCGGTTTCCTAAAATCTGTTTCTGCAAACTTGTTTGTATCGCCATGCAGATAAAGGGTGACTTGTTCTTAAATAAATGCTGAGTAAGTATGCCACATGCTCTTAGTTTTGCAACAGTAGAGTATTTAGTGCAGTATAATCCAAGCATTAAAAAAAAAAGTTTGTTCCCTTCAGATTTCAATGTCATACCTGCAAATGTGCATGTTCTTCAAGAATAGTTCCTTTGATTTCAGTGAAAATATTTCCACCTGCTGAAAGTTAAGAGCATGCATAAGTGTTTGTAGTCAGGGCTGCAAACATGCAAATAAATAAATAATAGCTAATATTAAAGAAAATTGACAAGAAATCCATAATTGGATGTGCACCAAATGCAGCTCAGTGCTGCTTTAGCTACAGACCAGCAAGTTATGGAAAGCAGGTCATGACTCCCAAAACGGTATAAAATATATACATCTGAAACGGATTTTACGTACATGGTAAGTATATGTTTAAACAGTATATGTAACATCAAAGATGTAGCTGGTGCATGGATACAAGAGAGACATTCTATGGCGAGGTAGAAACTTAATTCATATATGTAATTGCACACACGCTTCACATGGTGGCCAGGAAGGCAGTTGTAACTCTAAACAGACCAATAAAGAGATCTGTAAGAAACCATAGTACCAGTATATTAAGTCTTAGCAGAGGAACAGCCTCCATGCTAAAATAACATATAATCAATGACAGTGATGTTACAAGAGCTTCCAAGGGGAGCAAATGATGTCATTCCAAACTAGAGAAGATAGCTTTTCTTTATTTAAAAAAGTGGGTGAAATAACTTCCTGAAGTTCGACAAGGAGTTTAAGAATGTACTTCATATTACGTTCTATCAGGTATTACTTCTTGTTGAAACTGTAGGCCCTCCTGGAGTGAAATCCTGTCACTGACAACTCCCATTGACTTCAGTGGAACCAGGATTTTGCACTGGCTAAGAAATGAGTGGATTGTATATCCTTATTAGTACTTGTTTTTAGGTCATTTCAAAACAAATACGTCCTTTTGGGAGTTTTTTTAAAACTGCTTTAGAAAGTGTTAGCATCAGCTCAGTCTCTTTAAAAAGGCTTATTCAAGATCATTTGAAAAGTGAATTTATTTGTTTTTTTATTTTAACATAACCTTTTGCACATATTTATTTGAGGAATCTTAGTACTTGTTAAAGCAATCTTACAGTTAAATTCCATATGTATTGTGTGTCAGATATCAAGGAATATGTACCTCTCTACAATTAATCTAGGCCTTTAAAAAAATGATTGGAAGGAGGAGGAGTATTGGAAAATTGAAAAGTTTGAATTCTCTTATTTGTATTTCTTACAGTAGCCATATGCTGCAGAGAACTCCGTTTTTGGAGAAAGCTTTGAAAGTTCCATTGTGTGTAGCAGGCCCTTGAAACTTGTCAGGGAAGAAGCCTTAAGGCAAGAGAAATGTCTCTTCCTTGTCCCACAATATTCCATTCAGGGTTGTCTATGGCACAAGCATCTGAACAACTTAATTGCCCAACTGATGTTCATTTTGTTGGCAAAACTTAGGCTTGCTACATCTTGAGTTTGAATGGTCTAAACTAAGGCTTAAAGCCTTGTCAGTGCTGCTGGAGTAACACCGTGCTGTGCCAGGAAGCCTAAAAGCAGGCCGCCTCTGCAGGAGAGTTGGATAGAGCTGGTCCAGGCCTTGCCCTGACCGAGCACAGCACCTCAATAGCCCATCTGATTTCCAGCCTTAGCAGTATTCCATGGGGAAGGAGCTCCCTCCGACTCCTGCAGTGGGGATGGAGAAAACTTGATCAGGTTTTGCATGGCTGTATACTAGACACAGAATTTGGCACTGAAAGCTTGTGTTCTTGTATGTGGGATAACAGCTTCTTGCTGCTGTCAGCTAATATAATTAGTTTTTTAGCTCAGGCAGTACCAAAGGTTTTGGATTCAAACCTCACCAGTGATGCATACGGAACAGAGCATTTGTAACAGCTGCATTTAGAACTTCTGTTTATTATTTTCCTTTCTTTTAAGAAAAAAATACAGGTAGGAAATTGTATGCCAAAGGCCTACCACTTTTCACTTAGGTGGTTTTAATTATTATATAATTATGTTAACACCTCTCAAAACTTGTTATAGCAATATCTGAAATAAAAGTTCTTTCAGTCTCAAAGCAGTAACAACTTGCCAGTTAGATGTACATTTATGAGTAGGCATAATGCCCCAATTTCATTAGCACATTCAGATCTCTCTGTCTGAGTGATACTTGGCACCCTTTATCACACTTCAAAAATACAAAGCTCTGTGCACTTAAGAGGCTGATCTTGCAGGTGGTGTAGTACCTCGAGCTTCAAGTGTTGTGATGGGATCCTCATTTCACACAACAGGGATCCTAACACTTCAAATACTGAGGTAGATGGGCATCTTAAAAATGGAACAGACCCAGAAAAGATTATACAAAGCACAGTATGTCAATGAAAGCACTGGCAATAGAAGTTGGAATCTCCTGGATCCTAGGCCTGTATTTGTGTCACTAGATCATGCTGCTCTTGAAACAATAGTTTAAAGCCAATTAGGCTGCAGATTTGTATTATTTATACTAAAAAGAAAACTTGTTTTGTATGAGAGTGTCTCAAAGTCATGGCATTTTGCAATGAAACCATTTTGTGTTCAACAAGTGGGAAACTACACAGCAGCAGGGAATTCTGGTGCCATTGTTGAACACATCCCTTTACAACCACGTAAAGAAGCAACGTGGTCCAGTAAATGATCATTGTATGCCAAAATGTTTTTATTTCAAAATTCGTGTTATCTTCCGAACCGCCTTCCTACTTGAAAACATAGCTTATTTTTATACAATGAAATTAACATTTGGGCAGTTGCTGATTCTAGATAATATTTCCGTAAGAGTTCCAGGAAATCTCTTTTGTGTTTTTGTTTCATCTAGTAAAGTCACTTGATAATTAGCAATCCGAATTTAGTAGTGCAAGAGTCTTCAGTATAGTAAACCAAAAACCACAAAATGAAATGGGTCTGAATAAATGGAAAATGAGACTTGACTTATTAGGTAATGGTTTGGTATTTGTGATTATGACATGGTTCCAAAACCTTGTTGCAGGAAATTGAAAGGGAGCTAGAAGTAGTGTATTTCAGGAGTGGTCTTCCCTTGTCTTGTTTTCAGTTGGCAGAGAATAGATTTCTGTTGTAAATTTTCACTTCTAATTAATACTGCACTTTTCTTGGATATATGCTACTCGAGGGA